GAAGGAAGGAAGGAAGGAAGGAAGGAAGGAAGGAAGGAAGGAAGGAGATATAGAATTATGACTTCTGCCCTTCTTTCTATCAAGTACTTGCCATCTTCTTCCTTCCTCTCCCTCTTTACCCCTTTTCCATCCCCAAATCCATAAATCAGTCTTTTCTTCTTTCAACCAAAAGTCCACCTAAGGTTTCCAGCCTTTCAAAAAAGCCTTTCCAATAGAAGAGAATATGTGTGGCTCAGAGTTGAACCTTGGGGGTCTTTGAGCATGGTGGTTTCCTTGCAGACGTTTCGTTACCTGTCTAGGTAACATCACCAGTGCTACGAGGGAGTGGGGTGACCCCTCTGGGCCTGGTCGCCCCCACTTTTCTGGCACTGAAGATGTAACCTAGACAGGCGCCGAAACGTCTGCAAGGAAACCACCACGCTCAAAGACCCCCAGGGACTCCAAAAAAGTCCCTATCGTTTTTTTCCTGGCCATTCACACTCTTTCCACCAGTGCATTTAGCTAGAAGGTGTTACTGGCACCTAGGAAGTGAAACGAAGAAATGCTCTGAACAAAAGAGAGCGCAGGGCCAAATTCCAGCCCGCCCTGATCTTTCTCCCCTGCTCTCTCTCCCCAGTGGGACTCCATCAACGAAATGGATGAATTCTTCCAGCCCATCCACACCTATCAAGTGTGCAACGTCATGACCGCCAACCAGAACAACTGGCTGAGGACCAGCTGGGTCCAGCGGCACGGAGCCCACCGGGTTTACGCCGAGATCCGATTCACCCTGCGGGATTGTAACAGCATGCCTGGGGTGCTGGGCACCTGCAAGGAGACGTTTAACCTTTATTATCTTCAATCCGACCGGGACCTGGGGAGTACCACGCGCGAGAGTCAGTTCGTGAAGATCGACACCATCGCGGCTGACGAGAGCTTCACCAACGTGGACCTGGGCGTCCGGAGGCTCAAGCTGAACACCGAGGTGCGCGGCGTCGGGCCGCTAAGCAAGCGGGGCTTCTACCTCGCCTTCCAGGACATCGGGGCCTGCATCGCCATCGTCTCTGTCCGCGTTTATTACAAAAAGTGCCCCGCCATGGTGAGGAATCTGGCCGCGTTCTCCGAGGCGGTGACCGGGGCGGATTCCTCATCCCTGGTGGAGGTGCGGGGAGAGTGTGTGACACACTCGGAGGAGAGAGACACCCCCAAAATGTACTGCAGTGCAGAGGGGGAATGGCTCGTACCCATCGGGAAATGCGTGTGCAGCGCCGGATATGAAGAACGGAAGGATTCGTGTTTAGGTAAGATGGGTGTTCGGATGATGATGGCACCTTTGGGGGTACCAGTATGGTTGCCAATGTTGTAGGGAGAGACCTGTGTTAGTCTACGGGTTGGGGGGATTCAGGAAGCTTGTCCCCCCCTTTCTGACTAGCCCATTTTATGAAAAGTCACGCGCTTCCGTGAAATGTGACTCACCTCCTCAAATGCACATGCCTCTTCGTGATCCTTTTTTTAGTCTTAAAGTTTCATTCAAGCATCGTTTCTAAACCAAGATGAAAACACGTACAGATCTGAAGCAAGCTCCCGACAAACATAGGCTTTGCATGTCCCCTTTTCTGCCGTTCACACCATACGGCAGAAACGCCATCACTATTCATTCCAACTTCTGGTTTGAGAAAATATTTTCGAGGCATAGGGATAACACAGGAAAAACTAATGGAACAGAAAAAGGTGCAGGTTAAAAACATATATGCCAGCTTTTCTCAACCTTGGCACCTTTAAGATGGGTGGACTTCAACTCCCAGGCTGGCTGGGGAATTCTGGGAATTGAAGTCCACCCATCTTAAAGTTGCCCAAGTTGAGAAACACTGATATATGCAATAGCGTCTCACATATGAAGTCATTTTCCCACACTAAAAAAATGAAAAAAATCTTGCCCCCGATAAAACTGTCCTTCAGAACTCACCTATCATGGTAAAATGCCCAATTTTCTAAATGTTCAACTGCAGAACTAAACTTTCTCCTAGTAAAACAAAGCCACAGAGACCGACAGTTGGCCCCGTGTACAGAAACAGAAATATTTGCAAAATGAAGCCCCGAGGCAAGAATGGCGTAGGAGATTTAAGGAGATCAATAAAAGTGTGCGTCTGAGGAAGTGAGTCACAGCTCTCACAAAAGCACATGCCTTTTAACAAAATGGATTAATCAGAAAAAAGTGCTGTGGCAGAGGCTATTTTATGTACTTCTCATCAATTTGCTTTAACTTTTTACCAGGGCCTGTTTATGTTGACTGACTATGATACACGGTTGTAAGCGACATGAACTAAATTGCAAACCTGCCCTAAAAGTAATATATTTTCTTTTCAGAAAGTCTATCTATCTATCTATCTATCTATCTATCTATCTATCTATCTATCTATCTATCTATCTATCTATCTATCT